ACAACACGTCTTAAAAAGTGTTCAGTAAACTCTAAGATAACGGCTCTGATGAATGAATATCAATATCATTTTTTAACAAGTTTGAGAAATGTGGATTTTCAGATCTGTTAATCATCGAGTTATCGTTGTGAATTTAAAGAATAGCAATATTGAAATTACTAAAGCACTAATTCTGCTATTATGAATTAAATTTTACACAATCATCATTCACTTGCCAACACACTCACTTTAACACTAATTTACACGTTCATTCAAATAACTTGCTCACAAAAGTGATACAGAACGATTTAACATCCCAAATTGGCATTATGAAAATTAACAGACTAATCACATTTTTTGGTTCGAGTTTAAATATGCAAAATTAAATAACTTTATTACTTAGCGGCATTTGATTGGTGATTTATCGAAGTTTGACTCAAACAAGTATTAAAATAATACATTTACATTTATTATCCCCCCTCTCAAGTCTATATCGTTATCGTTATAGTTTGAATAGAAATACAAATGTGCACAGAATCATGAATTAACTTAATATTGAGTGCATAATAAGAAATATAAGCACTTTAAATCGCTGTATTCTACAATTATGATTATTAAAATATTTCTATAATCTATGATTTTTCCCAGCAAAAAATTCATAACATCAAATATTATTGTATTCCCGAACGTAATTTTATTCCCCAGTTTACTCTAATTTAGTCATAACTTACTATTGTATGGTTAAATTTTAAATTTTGAATAAGGATCGCAAACGATGTCTCATCCAACGACGTCGATGAGAATTAGAGCTTAAATTCTCGGTTGCCGAATTACTAGGTAACAATGTAATAAACATGAAATTCCTTTGATAATGTTTTTACACTTACTAACGACAGTAACTACAAAATAATAAAAGACAAACACATACTAGCTCCTGAATACATCCCTCGAAAGATTAGTATCGTTAACAATCATAAATTTCACATCATCAAAAATCTGCATCCGCTGTTTTTCGCCGATAGTTACATTAAAATATGTGCAATCTCCAATTGCATGAATCGTATAAATTCCTGTCGCCACATCATCATTATCAAGTTGATGACCTTTAGGCACATAAATTTCGGGATCAAGAAACAACGTTGTACTAAATGCTCGATCATCGTCCAAATCTTGCCGAGTGGTGTTGTAAAAGTTGTCATCAATTACTTCTCCAGTATCGCCATCTAAAGTCTGTAACGTTATATTTTCGAGATATGCAAGACCTTCGTATTGGACTTTTCCGGCGATTGGGATTGTTGAGCCGATAACGTATTGTTGATTTTGTGTCGGCGATGTTATAGATATTTGGTCTAAATGAGTCGTAATAGAATGAATCGTTAATGAAACGAAAATAGTTTTTATTAAGATCTCATAATTACCTGATTTTACATTATGGATACGGAAAAAGAAGATAGCTAGAAAACTCAATAATATTATCGTTTTCATTATTTATATCCAGCATATATAAATTTTCTTTATTGACGTTAAAAAGTGACTTATTTATATATATATTGAAGTTTAGCTGTTTCTGAATTGCACAATGATAAATTATCGATTTATTGATAAACCTATTTTTAGCCTTTCTATAACGACATCCATTTTTGTCAGTTACCTAATTTCCATATGGTGATATCAAAGAGATAAATGCGTCGTTTATGTTGTAGCTACATTGCTACAGTTCATTTACATCAAATATAAACGTAGGGGCGCACCCTCAAAAATTTCCTTAGCTCATGTAAAAAGATCTGTATCCGATCCGAAAGCAAACATCTGATATCCCTGCAAAATTAAAAATAGCTTGTATCTCGAAATATTGTCTATGAAACTGTTTACGTTCTAACAAAAATGCACCTTATGAAATTTTATTTTGCATGTACACTTGTTTATTTATATAATCCTAATCTTAACCAAAATGCTAAGGGATATTGAATACTTGTTATCGGATCCGCGACAGACAGGACCAAACCAAAAATG